TAATCTCTAACTTCTTGCTTCTAATTATTTGTTAGTTCTAACTTCTAATACTTAATTTACAATCATATTTAAAAATCCCCAATTTTTCTAACTTCAACTTTCAAACTTACTAAATTCAAGTACTTCTAAGTTGGAAAATTCAACTAATCTAATTCAACTTTCATATGCTATCCAATATTTTTCTAATTTCAAAGTAATCTAACTTTCATATACAATTGAATGTTTTTCTAACTTAAACCGTCAAACATACGAAATTCAAGAATTTCAAAGTTGGAAAATGCAACTAATCTAACTTCTAATTTCTAATTATTTGTTAGTTCTATCTTCTAATACTCAATTCACAATCATATTAAAATAAACCCCAATTTAGAAGAAAACCCTAAAATAAAAAATCCCCAATTCTCTACATAACTAAAAATAATCAAATATACAAATTAACAATTGAATAACACAATTCATCAAACTAATTAAAACAATATAGTAATTTATAACAAATCAAATATTACTAGAATTGAAAAAAAACTAAAATTAAACCCTAACCTTAACAAGCTAAGGAAAAGAGGCAGTGGGAACGACAGGTGGCGGCGCCGACGGGGCAAAGCAGCGACGGGACTAATGCTCAAGGAGAGAAGGGCAATGGCGGCGTGGGGCAGCGGAGCAACAATTTGGTTTTAGAGAGAAGGGAGAGAAGAGAGAAGAGAGAAGAGAGAAGAGAGAAGAGAGAAGAGAGAGAAACAGAGATGGGAAAATGGGGGGAAAATCCACTTTTTGGTTCAACATAATTTTAAAAAAGCGACGGATAGCGTCTTTTTGTCCGTCGCTTTTTTAAAAATATTTGACCAAAATTTTGACTAAAAAGCGATGAACTGAGAGACACTGTCCGTCGCTTTTTAAAAATGTTTGACTAGATATTTTGACCAAAAAGCGACGGACTAAGAGATGCCGTCCGTCGCTTTTTAAAAAAACTAATCAATAAAATAAAATAAATTAAAAACGACGGACAACGTGGTTATTGTTTAATTTATAAATAATTATTTTTATTAAAAAGCGACGAACGACATCTCTATATATATTAAATAAATAATTATTAATTATATATATATTTAGCGCAAAAATCCGCAAAAAAAAGTGACGGACTAAGAGATGCCGTCCGTCGCTTTTTGTAAAATAATTTTAAAAATAATTATTTTTATTAAAAAGCGACGGACAGTGTGGCAAATGACGTCGCTTTTTGAAGCGACGCAGTCCGTCGCTTTTCTGCTTGTCATTTTTTGGCAGTTTTTTGGTAGTGTATCAACAAAGAAACCGTAACAACAATAACAACAAGGTACGATTACCTAAACTCTATACATCATAGATAATCTATATCAAATCAAACAACATCACTTAAATTAAGACGATGAAAATAACTAAAATATATATACAAAGAAATTGTAATAATAACAACAACAACAAGGTACGATCACATAAACACAATAAATCATAAATGATCCATATCGAATCAAACAATATCACTTAAATTAAGACGATGAAAATAACTAAAATATATATACAAAATAACCGTAACAACAACAACAACAATAAAATATAATTATCTAAATACAATCAGTCATAAATTATTCGTATCGAATCAACACTTCACTTAAATTAAGACAATAAAATATAATTGGTGTGCACTTAGCAGTCTAAATTGACTTATTTTTATTGTTATCCTAAATAAAAACGCCAAATATGCCAACTCAATCCTAGTGTATCACTGGATTAATTATAATCTATTTATTTGTTAGTTTTATTTTTCATCAAAACTATGGTACGTGAGAAAAATAGGGGCGGATTCAACGTGTTACGAAAACTTAATTGCTAGCATCCTGTCTATTTTATCTTTTTCTTGGAGTCATTTGATAGAGTATATTAAAAATAATAATATATGTAGTATTAGTTGGCTCTTGATGTATTCCTTTTCTTTATTTCTTAAAGTTTTTTTTTCTTATTAAGTGTTTGATATTTATATTAAGACTTAACTAAATTTAAATTTACATCGAAATTTTTTATGTTGAGAGTAAAACGCTTGCTCAAGAAGGCCACCACAATCCTTATTGGTTTATTTCTTTTTTAAAAAATTGTTTTCTACTCAGTGTTAAATAAGGGGGGTGTTCGGTTCTTCAATTTGATTTTATGAAATATCGGTTCGATTTTTTTGATTTTCGGTTTTAGAAAAATGTGCACCATATACCACTAAAACTAATTCGGTTCGGTTCGGTTTAGTTCAGTGTTTTTAAATTGGTTTTTCGGTGCGAAAGAAAAATAAAACGAGGACAAAATAAAATTAAAGTATAAGATACTTAATTAGAATTTAAAACTATGTTAAGAAATGATGTGTCTCTCTAGGAACACTTATTACGCTAACTATAAGACTATATTTGTCTTTTTGATCAAGAACATTGTGTCTCCAACTATTTTTCAAAAAAAACAAGGATGAAGACGAGCTCCTTTACATAATTTACATCCATAAAAATATGTTTGGGTTCCTCTTGCGAATTAATATTTGAAGTTAAATATTGAATTGTACATTTGTTGCTACTTAATTTTTAATTTTTTAAATAAAAGTACGGTTCTTCGGTGCACCGAAATTCTGAGACCCTTACATCTAATCGACGAACTGAACTTTTAAAAAAATAACACCAACAATGAACAGAAAAATCGAAGAACCGAATTAGTTTGGTTCGATTCGATTTTTTGATTTTCTGATATTTAGTTCCACCACTAATGTTAAATACTCATATTAGAGTCCAATCAAATTTAAACTCGTACTAAAAAATTCTATATTAAGAGTAAACACTTGTGAAAAAAAGACTCCGTCACAATTCTTGTTGGTCTATTTCGTCTCTCAAGTCTTTTCAACAATGTGAATGTTTTAAGGACCATTTTTTCTTAATTAGGTAGTTTCTATAACAATTTTTTTTTTTAAATCTTTTCACAATCATCTAATTTCATGTTACTATTGTCATTTAACTTGGAAGGGATTAATTACAAAGATATAATATGTAACTTGTTCCCATGGATACAGAAAATACGTGTTCTTTTAGAACAATGAATTAATACAATGTAATATTTCCTTCGTTTTAATTAATTTATTTTTTTAGTTCATTTCAAAAAGTATGATATCTCTTTTTTTGGTAATTTTCAAATTCAAATTTTCATGTTTAAGACCAACAAAATAAAAAATGTTTTACCATATTCTACATATTTTTAGTTTAAAATCGTAGAATTATATATATCAACAAATGCTTACCCAAGGCATAAAAGAAGCATTTTCTACGAGATCCCGAAACCACCAGCCACTTCGACCTAATTCATGATAGGCCCACCAACTTCTGGCAAAATGCCTACGGTTAAAAACCACCGACATGCCAAGATCCAATATCCTTCTTCAATCAGTAAAATATTAATTTTCTATTTTATTACAAAAAAGGATTTATTGTTATCTAAATGAGAATTAGTGATGTATTACAATATTTTTGTTAGGAAAAAGATGTATTTTAATAGAAAAGAAATAATACATTTATTTAGAAAAAAAAAACATTTTAACCCAAAAGTAACAATAAGAACATGATTTTGGATCAGATTATTAATTTAAAACATTTATCTTCAAGTTTACATAATTTAAAAATATTTTTTTTATCCTTTACTGTTTGAAGGATCAAGTCCAATCAGATCCTTGTCATTCACACATGATATCAATATGATATGATCCTTCAAGAATACAAATTAATAATTTATGAAAGAGAAAATACAAAATTACCCATCAAACTTGTACTTTTTTTGAAGTAAACACCTAAAATTTGCGGGTCCTATTACCCCATCCAACCATTTTCAACAATTTTAAATACACTATTTTTACAATATTTGCAATCTCATAATCCGTGAGTGTGTTTCACCCCCAAATAAAATAATATTTTTTTATTTTTCTTACTTGTTTAATAGTGGGTCGGGTAAAATCCTGACCCACTCACATTTTAACCCTTAAACTTTTTTAGAAAAATTCATGTTCATCTTTTCCAATTCCTTTTCCCAATTCTTTCGATTTACTTCACTTCAAAAGAATTTTTTTTCTGAATTTCTTTGTAAATATATATTTATGTAAGTTTTGTGTGTTATTTTTTTAGTGTTTTGGCTGTTTATTTAGTGTTTGATTTCAATTTTTTCCCCAAAAATTAGTTTAATCCTTTTTAGCTTTGTGGGTATTCCGAAATTAAGACTAGCTTTGAGTTCTATAAGTGAATTTCACATTTTTTTGAATTTGTACGAGTAGATTCTTTGATACTTTTGATCTTGGGAAACTATATGAACGGAAATGGGTTCAAATTTCTTTGTTGAAAGGTAAATTAGGTGCTAAATTGATCAAGTATTATATCGTTGTTAAGTAGATTTTTCTTATAAAAGACCTTAAGATGGATTGCTAAAACTTGATGATAGAGTATACAGTAAAGAAATTTGCTTCGCGTGGTAAAAAACCAATTTTTGTTGTTGAGAAAAGCTCTCAACAGTCATTAATGGTGGTTTGGGGAAGAAGAAATGTGGAACTCTTTTCACTTTGGTTTAACAATACCATGTGTAAGTTTTCCATTGATTTGGGGCTGCAATTACCCTTTCACGCGCTTTTGTAGCGTGAAATCACAATTGCCATGAAAATGGGTCAAAATAACATATTTATTGTGGATTTAAATGATTTCGTGGGATAATAAAACCTCTGTAAATTTAAGGTATCTTCTTCAAAAAAGAGCCTAAATTTAATGCGGTAATTATGCATTTTCTCTTGTTGAATACCAGCAAATCATAGTTGTACTGGTATATATTGTCTTGCCTAATTTGTGGGACCTCAATTAAATAAAAACTAAAATGCAACTAGTGTTTTTTTTCTTCATATATAAACTAAGTTCTCAAGGTGCTCAAAATCCATACACACTTTTAATTTGTATACACAAATTCAAAAAAAAAATATGAGTGATCAATCATATGAATCATTATTATTAAATCGAAAAAATACATCGAAAACACTCGATGAAACGATAGAAAGGTGCATTGGTGAATTTGGATGGGCACAATTGTTACAATCCGTCCTCGTATCTCTATCGTGGGTTTTTGATGCACAACAAACATTTATTAGTGTCTTTACCGACACACATGCCGTTAATGAATGGTCGTTACAGAAGCAAGGTGTGAGTTCAGTTCTCAGTGGATTACCAGCGTCTTCATTTTTCATAGGTTGTCTTATTGGAGGTTTAGTATTATCCACTTTGGCTGACACAAAACTTGGACGAAAAAAACATGTTGGTTTTTTCATGTCTTGTCATGTCAGTTGCGGGAACCATAACATCAATTTCAACAAATATTTGGATTTACTCATTTTTGAGATTTTTGAGTGGATTTGGAAGGGCTACTATTGGGACTTGTGCACTTGTTTTGTCAACAGAGTTAGTAGGAAATCAATGGCGTGGACAAGTTGGTATAATTGGTTTTGTTTGTTTTACTATTGGTTTTCTATCATTGCCAATTATTGCTTTTTTGAATAAAGAGTCTTCATGGAGAGTGTTGTATTTGTGGACATGTCTTCCAACAATTTTGTACTCAATTTTGGTACATTTTTTGGTTTGTGAATCACCAAGATGGCTTTATGTAAGAGGGAACAAAGAGGAATTTGTGTCAACTTTGAAAAGTATTACAACAAGGAGTAGCTTGACATTGAGCTTCTTTGGCTCCTTTTTCGAATTTGAAGATCAAGAACATGATAATGTAAGTTATTACTCCCTCGATCTGTTTCAGTTTGTTTGTTTTACGTTCCTTTTTAAGTCCTTTTAAAAAAGAATGTCGCTTTTTACGTCCAATATTCTATCTTAATTAACTATTACCAAATGTTTGTTGAAACACACATCATGAACTATCAGTTGTTCCATTTTCCTACTTGAAATATCATTGTCGTTCTGGTATAGAAAAAGAGAACAACTAATAGTTGAAGTGTGTTTGGATAAATAATTGGTAAGATTTCAAACCCCTCTCTATTTTCTTTTTTTGTGCTTAAACTATATATTTGAGCAAGTTAAATATATCGTCATTGTATGAACCTTTTACGTGTTGTAGCAAGTAACTTATCTTATTTTCTAATACAGAACTCGAACGAGTCATCAACAATCAATCTCTACTCAGCTATCAAGATGTTGATCGAAAAAAAATGGGCTTTCAGACGACTTATATCGGTTATGTTGGTTGGTTTTGGTATAGGAATGGTATATTATGGGATGCCATTAGGTGTTGGAAATTTACCTTTTAATCTATACCTAAGTGTTACACTTAATGCACTATCAGAATTGCCAGCATCAATAGTAACATTTTTCCTAATTGGAAAATTAACTAGGAAAAAATCACTATTAGTATTTGCTATGTTAAGTGGAATATGTAGTATAGGTTGTGTACTAGTACAAAATGATGATTTTAAAGTGTTACAAATGGGGTTTGAACTTTTTTCATTTTTTAGTGCATGTACTTGTTTTAATGTTTTGTTAATTTACACTGTGGAATTGTTTCCGACATGTGTTAGAAATTCAGCAGTGTCAATGGTGAGACAAGCATTGGTTCTTGGTGGTGCAATTAGTCCAATGTTAGTAGCTTTTGGGAGGAAAAATAGATGGTTTTCTTATGGAGTTTTTGGGATTTGTATAGCAATTTGTGGATTGTTTGTGTTGTGTTTGCCAGAAACTAAAGGAAGGACATTGAGTGATACTATGGATGAAGAGGAGTACAAGGAAAGTGTATTTGTTTGCTAATCAATGTTGTAAAAGTATGGCATTTTTTTCAATAAAATTTTGAGTTGAGGGTCTATCAGATTCAGTCTTTCTATCCCACAAAGGTTTGTGTACATCTCATTCACCCCAGACTCCACTTATGGAATCATATTGAGTTTGTTCTTGTTAATAATTTTGGATCAAGGATCTGTTAGATTCAGTCTTTCTACCCCACAAAGGTAGAGGTTAAGTCTGCATACACCTGACAAACCCCAGACTCCACTTATGGAATCACACTGAGTTTGTTCTTGTTGTTGACAATTTTTAAATAAATTTTGAGTTGAAGGTCTATCAGATTCAGTCTCTCTATCCCACAAAAAGGTAGATGTTAAGTCTACGTACACCTCGTTCCGTCGCTCAACCCCATACTCCACTTATAGAATAACATTGAGTTTGTTCTTGTTGTTTGACAAATTTTTAATAAAATTTTGCGTCGAAAGTCTATCAGATTCAGTCTCTCTATCTCGCAAAGATAGAGGTTAAGTCTTCATACACCCCATTCAACCCCAGACTCCACTTATGAAATCACACTAGATTTATTTTTTGTTGTTGATTTTCAATAATAAAAACTTATAGCATGTGATTAGAAAATGACAAGATTGTTGCTTTGTTTATAGAGGAGCTTTGCTGGTTTTGGAAGGTGGATTATTGTTTTACTACAATCGATCATAAGTTTTAAGTATACTTTATGTGTATATCAAATGTCAATCTTGGTTTCGTTCATAAACTCCATGCTTCAGTTAAACACAATCAAGAAAATAAATTTTTTATTCATAAAATAACGCAAATTAATTGTGTACAATTAAATGGAATATGCAATCAAACTGAAAATATGGAAAATATTTAGATCTCTAATACAACTTGATTTATGTAATTATCTTATCTAAAACTCGTTAATAACAATATATTATAATATTAGTTAAGAATTATAATAATCAATGAGGCCGTCTTAGCTCAGTGGTAGAGCGCGTGGCTTTTAACCACGTGGTCGTGGGTTCGATCCCCACAGACGGCGATTTGATTTTTACGAACATATGTCGATTTTTAAATAACTTAGTAGAATTTCTCTTTTTTTGTTGACAATTAGGACGAAAATTTTCATCCTTTGTCAACTTATCTTTTCACTATGGTGAATATAATTTTCTTGGATTATGAAAAAAAAAATGTTCTACATATTTTAGCATACAAGATAATAGAGTTGTAATAACTAATATATATTAACAATGAACAAAATAGATATTTATTATTTTAAAATTAAGGTAAGTTATCTACTACAATAAGTAAAAATAACGTGATAATGTAAAAATTCTTTAAATTATTGACATAAACAAAGTTAAACTCGAGAAATATACACGCATATTTACATACACGGATCATTTAAGTTGCTATTTTAAGTGTATAACCGGATACGACTAGTTATTTGTCTACGACAAATGGGACAATCTGACACTCTTGGACCACATTCTCTGCAGGTCTGCATTCAATTGATTACAAATTCATTAACACCATATAAATAGCGAGTTGAATTCTCATATGGTGACTTGACTAATAGTTATTATCTCAAAAAGTTACTTTGTTTGTTGAAGAAGAATGAAATCAAGACGAAACGTGAATTTATGAGATAATAACTGTTAATTGAGTGACATATACGAGAAATCAATGGAGGAGAGAAATGAAAATCATCCTATAAATTGAATAGTAGAGAAAAGGAACTCACCATATGTCCACAACCAAAAGCCATATCCTTAGTACCAGTTAGACAAACTGAGCAAGCCTTCATTGTGAACAAAAAGAAAAATAAGATAAATTGTCCAAACACTCAATTAGCGACAACACATCTAGCGTATTTCCACGAGTGGGGTTTGAGGAGGAAAGTGTATACGCAGATCGTATCCCTACCTTGGAAGGTAGAGAGGTTGTTTCTACTAGACCCTCGGCTCAAGGAGAAGCATTTCAAAGCAGTTAGAAAAAAGAAAATAACGGAAGTGAAGAAGCCAGGGCAAAATACTAAACAAAGCATGACACAACATTCTTAAAAGTAATAGTAAATACAACAAAATAAGACAAGAAGAAACAATAAATAGTAACAGAACTCGAATAACAAGAAACTAATACTTAACCACCTAGTACTCTTCTACCCTAATCCGTTCTATCACTCAATTACCTCACAAAAAGAGAAATGGCATGTTCAACATGAGAAGCACCAAAGGCAGTATAAAAATCTCAACGTTCTTATTATTAAGTGGAAACATGAATCAAAATTTCGCCTTACCTGTCCTTTTTCTATACAAGAAAATTACAAAATGAGTAACAAGTATACAATGAAGACAGTTATAGAGTGTAAGGATTAATTTCAAGAGCTTTAGTGATATTGCAGCAAAGTTTCATTTCTCACACAATATCCACCAGGACATTTGTATTTGCTTTACTTGAGTTGAGGGTCTAATGGAAACAGTCTCTCTACCTTCACAATGTAGGGATAAGGTTTGCATATATCATATCCTCCCCAGACCCCACAAGTAGCGGAAACAGTACTTACTACTGTCACTTAGTAAGTACTCTGTGTTTTTACTTTTTTACTTTTTAGAGAGACCACTTAAGTAGCTATGAATAATCCAAGAAAATGTTTGGTCCTTTACCCTTTCTTGTCATGTCTCATGTCTCCATGTGGTTCATTATAACGGTTCGATAGACGTTATGATTATAGTGATCCTCCTATTTAAAAACTTTGAACGATTAATACAGCAAATGAAGAAAAATAATGATAATAATATGGATTAATAATATATAATAATATGGATTAGGAAAATATCTATGTACAATTTAATTTATGTCAAAAATATTGGGCTCACTTGATCCGTCAAAATCTTTACTTGATTCTCCTCTTTACAGCTCAACAATTAGGAAATATGGTTTCCCCTTAAAGAGAAACTTCAAAAAGAAATAGATTCCTATGATGGTAAAGAAACCTTTGGCCATAGAAATGAAATATTTTTCATTTTGTTTGAAGATTTTCAAATCTAAATTTTTCACTTTATATGGTTGCCATTTCTTTGATCACTGAGGGTCTATCGGAAACAATATCTCTATCTCGCAAAGATAGGGGTAAGTTCTGCGTATATCTTACCCTCTCCAAATCTCAGTAGTAGAATTACACTAAGTAGGCGTTTGGCCACGCAATACCATATCACGATATGGTATCGTGAGATGGAATTAGTGTTTGGACATGCAATTTACGCTGATTCCATCTCATGATTCCATATCATGAGATGTGATTCCATATTCTCCAAAAACCATGATATGAAATTATATCATGATTTGAGATATTTTAATACAAAAATTGATCCACGAGTTTATATTTTGTTAAAACAACCCCACATTTATATCTACTAACCATTTATTTCATATGTAAATAAAATTTATAATCACATCATTACTTTTTAAAATTTATTATTCTCACCGACATAAAATTTATTATTCTCACCAACATATAGCTAGTCACTTTAACTCACACCAACCGATTGTTAAAGTGATGGAAATATTTATGGTTTATGAGCATGAAAATATAGTTGCGGATGATATTGACCAACAAATGGCTCAAAGTAATAATGTTGGTTCGTCTTCTCTGTCACGTGATCGAGAAATGCAAGTTCAACGTGAGGATATTGTCCGTACTATGTGGGAGGATTATATTAAAGACTAGTACACTACAATTTATGTTCATTTTTTTTTATTAAATTAAAGTTAGATGAAACAATTACTTAAGTGGAGAACAAATAGCTTTGTAATAATTTATTATGCGATTTTATAAATTTTTGTTAATTTGATAAGATTGAATAAACAATTGGGGCTATTTTAATAGTTTTACAACTCATGAGATTTTTATGTTTATGAGAAAATATACAACACAAAAATTCCATATCGCATGTCCAAACAAAACTTCAATTTCATCTCATGATTCCATATCATGATACCATATCGCATAGCCAAACGGGCCCTATACATATTGTTGTTATTATTGTTTGAGTTGAAGATGAAGTTTTGTTTGATTATACTTTTTCTGAAGGAGAGAAAGACATTTTATTTGGAATTATAAATATAGAGTTGGGAAACATGTTATAAATTCGGAATCCAACTTACAAGTGAAATTTGAAATTTTCACGACCAATCAACCACTGATTCTCAAATAAAGTAAAAAATTATTCCAAAAACAAATAAATATTATTTTTTTATGACCAAATGTGTCCTCAAGAGCATATGAAAGCTCTCTACTCATGATGAGTATAAATAACAAGAGCTAGCTAGCTTCTCTACTCATAAAATATCATCCATCTCATGTAATAAACAAAAATTGAATTTATTATAATTGAGAAAAAACTATGCCAAGAGATCCTCTAATAGTTTCTGGAGTTGTTGGAGATGTTGTTGATCCATTCACAAGGTGTGTAGACTTTGGTGTGGTTTACAACAATAGGGTGGTCTACAATGGATGTGCCTTGAGGCCTTCACAAGTTGTCAATCAACCTAGGGTTGACATTGGTGGAGATGATCTTCGCAATTTTTACACTCTGGTAAACTCATAATTCTAATTTTTTATATATATATATATATTTTATTATTTTTTTCCTATTTAATACATTTTAATATCTCTAGCTGATTAGAATAGTTTAAGCAATTCACATAATTGTTGACCTTTTGTCAATTAATTATGAATAGAGGATCAAAAGCGCAATATGTGCAAAGGCTTCTAATTATGTGAATTTATGCAAGTTCTAATTTTAATTCACAAGCTAAGTACTTGTTTTTATAGTTTTTATTTGAATTTGAGAACTCATAACATACTATTTATAATAATAAAAAATGTTATAACATGTATGTTTAATATTGCAAGCTTGAAGATATACTATATTTTTAAAGTACTCTAGGTCTAATCAAACAATGTTTATATTTAATGGTGTCTAGGTTATTTCGTTTTTTATTTTCCTAATT